ATGACTGAATGAAACGTTTTTTCCACTGTATTTTCGGGCTGTAAATTATTGTCTGGATACGATTTTCAGGTTCAGAACTGCAATCGTTTCGGTTGCCTAAACTCATGTGTTAGACAGTTATTTTGTGTGAAGCTGACTGCTAAAAATGTTCGTCTACAAACGTGACCAATCCGATTGACAAAGGCCAGACTAGCCCTTCCACTATATCGCCTTATATCGAGGCTTGGCAACGAAAAGGTAATACGCATGAGGAGGAGGTTCCTTGTCCAACAAACAATTGATGTAAACCTGTTTAGAGTGTCCCTTCTAACTAAGCCTCCTCAATAGGTGCAAACAGACTCGCTTCGTCCGAAATAACACTGCCGATGAACTGGATATATTTGTTGACTGGATTAATGGAGATTACCAGATCTCCAAGCATCAAGGTTTGTGCCTTTCAAATGTTAACCGCAGTCGACAGGAGAACGGGAGTAGAGATCTTTTTAATACCATCAGTAGTCTTCATAACCTTCAGCATGATGATAGGCGATCCGAAATTCCCGAAGGAAGCCTTTTATGAAGATGATTCTTCAACCTCAGAAAAGAAATAACTGTTGTCGACGTTATCATCATAACACTCATGATAAATCTACCAGACAATTCAAGGATCCTGTGGTTGCTAACCCCGAACGTTCCCTGAAAACTCCACTGTCAGCAGACGTTAACTGTAATCGTTAGAAGTTGGATAACATCTCTCTGTTGTACATCACTGATGTGATGGACGAACTCTCGCTACTCGTCGACACTGTTGTAAAAGAGCACATTTCTCACGAATACTAACAACAGTCTACAGAATCAAGCCTTCAATTTGCGTGCAGCGAACAGAAAACCGATCGACGCATGCAGTAAAATGTACATTTGCCATCACATGCGTTTACCTCTACAATTTCATGATTTTACTTTTGATGCAGACAGTATGCAGTTTCGTTATTTGATTCAAAAATATGAAATCTTTAGATACAAACGTTGCTATGCTTTTTACCCGTATTTTCAGTGTTATGGATCATTGGACGCAAACTGCCAGTGTGTGAATGTGGAGAAATGTTAAATGAAGGTGAATTATATTTGTAAACATCTCGCAGGCTTCAGTAAGTAAAACAGCATCGTCAATACCACGTTTGAAAAATTTAAAAAGGCTTAAATTGGAGCTATCAATTTTAGCTTCCAATGGAAATTTTGATTCTTAGCTCATTCCTCTTCTGAAATTCTAATTTCGAAAGCGTGATTGTTCATAAAAGTGATACAACTATGCATCAATGCATGACATGGTAATCGAACACTGATGCTGAAATGAATTAAGTCTATGCAGTGATCGCAACACGTATCCTAGTGAAGATTTAATAGCATTACCTCTTCGAGTATACAGTTTTCAGTTTTCATAATGTGGTCTCATTATTAATTTTTTGCAGTCAGTGAACTATATGAGTTAAGAACTGATGTCAGACAATCGTCCACCATTGTTATATATTTCGTTGGTTTTCGATTGTCAGTTCATTGTAGTTAAAAGAACACGTGGTTATTTCAGAAATTTTATAAGCATTGCTCTTGAGAAGACATGTTACTGTGAACAAATGTCCACTGATATTGTATATGGTAGTTGTTGAATAATTAATTTGCTGATTATTTAGTTCGAACTGTATAGTCTATATATACATTAACACTGGCCCGTTAATCAACTATTCTAACCTACTTATTATTGTCAGTTTCAAGTTAATCTATGGCGTATAAAATATCACTTTTTTTTAAATTTTACTGTCTCTTTTCCTACATATGGTGAGATGTGTTGCCATAGCTCGCTTACTATCCTAAGACTGGAAAAATCGAATTTGCTTTGCCTATGATTTCTTCATCCTGAAATTCTATTGTCCAACGTTTTGGGTCGATACATTTTTCTTATTTATTTAAGCCAATGAAAATTATTGTGAAATTTTTCACTAGCTACGTGTGCATAGGCTGAAGATATTGGCCAATCAAATCATAGTCGATTCTTGTCAAGTTGGATTGTAAAATAACATAGAATCATTCTTATATATGTAGCTGCTAGTACACAACATATATAATCTTTTGTGATTATAATGATAACAACCTGTTTGTATAGATCCTTCATTTTGTTGATTCTTATACATGATATTTGTACAAAACCACATCTAGATGCAGTGGTATGTTGACAAGTGTTAAACATATGCATATAATCTATCGAAATATCATAGAGTCGACGTGATACAGAACATTTCGCTGATGATCCAGATCGACATGATTTGATCATAATGCTTTTTTAGGCGAAGAGACTGCCAAAGAATTTGCTCAACTTACACCGAATGAAAGTGAAGAAAGATTAAAGTAAGTTAATTAGTCAGTCAAAAAAAAACACAGTTAATTTAAATATATCATATTTACTTTTGTTTTATTAGAATTATCATTCGAAAAATTGATAAAGATAATGATGAAAGAATTACGGAACTTGAATTAAAATCTTGGATTGAATATGTAGCTAAGAAATCTAAACAAAATAGTACTGACCGTCAATGGAACGATATAAATCCAACTAATCAAACCATTAATTAAATGGACAGAATATCTTGAAAGAACGTACGGACCGGAAGAAGGTAAATTAATTTGAAATGAACAGATTTATAACTTTAGACTAAATGTTAATTTATCTGTAATATTCAGAGTAATGTTGATTAAATCTTAACATAACGAGAATTTGTTAAATTCAAATAAACGATATTGCATAAATTGAATCAGTGAAGATAAAGAATATGTTTTGATACTTGACTGCTCACTAAGAATCTTACTGCATGTACGAGAGTGAACATTATTATCAAGGAATAATTGTTTTGTTACTAATCATACTTTTAAGAAATTATTCTATAGAAGGATAAGTAGTCAGTCGTCACTTCTCAGTAATAATGATAATAATAATAATAATTATCCACCTGTTTAAGGTATGTTGTAAATTAAATCAATAGACTGATGCATCAATCTATGTTAACACGGACAAAATACATCAGGGTAATCTAGTAAAACCTTTTACCTTTTTTTTTGTCTATGAAATAGTGTTATTGTCAATAAATGAATCATTCTGTACTTACTGGCATAAAATGAAACCAAATACAGATTCGTATGATTTCTGTCTACTGGAATAACAATTCCACATACTTACACATGATTAAACTGGGATGAAAGATAAATGTTTGTATGACTCATTTTTATATTTAGTCAAATAAGCATATGATTAAGACAGTGTTGAACAGTTGTTTGAATTCATAAATGTCTTGAAATTTCTTATTACAGTTATTAGGTGGCATAGTTAATGTACCAATATGATGAAATCTCTAGATAAAATCTGTTACATTTCTCATTGTTCATATTTAATAAAACTGATGATCCAGATAAGGATATAACCCAATTGAACATACGTTGTATTTTGTGATTACATTTGGCCGTTAAGTTTGTATTTATATCTGAATACTTAGTTTTATGTGCAGTTCTAGTCATTAATTGTATATCATCATCAATAGCTTTTATTTACATTGATATAAAGCAGAATTTTGACTGAATCATGAAAAGTATTTATTAAGAATACTTGCTTTAAAAATGATGTATAAAACAGCTGTACTTTTTTAAAATATCTTTTAACAATAGCGACTAAAAAAATGTAAATTACAGAAAAGGATGAATATAGATAATTTTCATTGAGGCTTACTTTCTGACTGTAGGAATGCATGCTCTGTTTTTCCATATACTTGATATATACTGAAGTAAGCAGCTTATCATAAAATGATTTCCAAATTGTTGTTGAAGCTATATATAAGACAGTTCATACTTTACAATAATGGCTTGTAAATACTTACCTATTGATTACTCCATAAACCTATAGAACGGCTAAAAGATACTGCTACATCTGAGTCATATAAAGAAGCTGTGCATCATGATCGACGACGATGGGTTTCTGCTGACTTGGACAAAGATGATAGTTTAAACAAATCAGAATTCACTGATTTTGTACATGCTGAAGATAGGCCAAATATGCGTGATGCTGTTATAGATGTAAGTGATAAAATTTTTAATTCATGAATATATTTCTTATGGAAATATTTAAGAAGACGATAGATTGACATGAGTGTTGTGCAACATTAATATTAACATACGAAATGGTAACTTCATAGGTTGGAAACTTTAATACAAAATCATTCGGTCACTCTAATGCACTGACGAAAATCAATTAAGTCGTATCGCAACACTTTTTTATTTATAAATCCCAATTCTTGTAGTTTCGACTATTTCATCTATTGATATACAAGGCATATCATTAAATAACTTCTAGTCAATTGAACCCAGTTTTAAGGAGAACTCATTTTGTGTTCTTTCCGTTTAGGATCATTTTTCTTAACCTGTTAATACACAGCAATGTACATTTCTATTCAAAGGTAAAGTTTTAGGATGTGCCCTCACGGAAACATTTATAAGTTAATATCAAATTATCTAAATTGATTGATTGTGCTATGAATTTGGACAGGATACAAAAAAGTATATGAAAAATAGATTTTTGAAATAGCTTTTCAGTTTAAATGGTTTTAGGCTAACAGTGTACTATTCAGCTTTATCTCTCTGCACTGATGTTGGGGATGTTAGATCCCCAAAACTCGCTTGATAAATGCCTTATATTGGATTTCACTTTTGCGAGCATGGGCTGATCAGTTGAACTTGAGATTTCATTTCCCACCAGGAAAATCCATGGCTGTAATTGGCGGCTGTGTATTTTAGTGTGCTATTTTCGTTACTGTCCCAAGGACGTTTCTATGATGTATAAATAAACGAGAGTTGTGTGAATGATTGTATTGAGATTGCTAGGTGTTTGTAGAATATACTTTCTACGCTTACCAAGACTTCTGGTTTACAGCTTGGGATTCAAGGTAGCCTATCTGGACGCTGGTAATTGTCTCGTTCGCTTATCGACAAAGGTAACCTCGTAATAGCTTCAAGCGTACCTAGTGACAAACTTATCAACTACAGTGTTGATTTTCACTTTCGAATTCGAAACCAGTATTATTCATTTCAAGCTGCCACTGAACAGCCAAGTACAGTTGACCACTAAATTGTTTGAACCCTTATTCATTTTCATTTTCAAAGTTAAGAAGCATGTAAGGGGAAACAATTTGGACAAAATCTTGATTTCTACTGTATATCGCTTCTCTTAAATTTTAGCTAGTTGTCGTAGCTTCTCTCAGCAATAACTCTATTTCCTATAAAATGCATTTGTGTTAGCAAAATCCATAAGAAGTCCTTTTCAATGAAACTATGGTGAACGGACGGCCTCCAGTAACAACAATAATGGTTTTGAATTTGTAGGTGTATCTCGAGTCAGTAAATAGACAGATTGTTATGAACAGGATCTGACACCTAAATGTAATCAAATATATACTGTGGTTTATACCTAGTATTTTAGTTTAATCAAGGCTTGTTATCGGTTTACCCTAGTTTGAATGACACCAATTCTAGTTCAACAGACCATTACTCCGCTGAATAGTTTCACAGGCTTTACGTGTTTCTGTAAATAAGTCTCGATAATTTTAACATTACTATTGATAATAATTTACTAACGAAGTGTCATAAGATAGAAACCTATGAATCAAGTACAGAAAATTTCTAAGTTTAGCCTATGTGTACCTTATAATCAACATTTTCATATGAATCTTAACGAATTCAGGTGTTTAACAAAGAAGTCCCATGCAAACCTACCAGGAAAAGTTAATGATTAAATTTTAATAAGTTAATACGTTGATTTTGATCTGTTATAACAGTGCAAATTTAATGCTTTTTGTTTTTCTGATTTCTATTTTTTTTTTGTATTAGGAACTACTTGAATCTGTGGATAAGGACAAAGATGGTTATGTATCTGAAAAAGAATATCTAGGTAAAGAAGTAAAGAGGATTTATTATTTTCTGTTATTATTCAAGCTTTTCGAGCACTACATTAATGATTAAAACAAAACTGGTCACTTCAACTAGGAACTTGCATTTAGCATCGCCATTTTTTTTTAACAAATAAATAACACTTAATTATCAGCTATTATATTTTAATGGTTTCTATTAAATTTTCTCTAAATTATGAGAAAATAATTCGTTGTGTTTAGGCAAGAACTTTGACCAACATTCAACCTTCATTCAGTGAACTGATGTGAATAGACATTTTAGTTCATAGCATCACCTAATGGCTTTAACAGAACCTGAAAATATCCATTCATTTTATTCATAGCTATCAGACTGGTTGAAGGCTTTGCCGTACTATACATCGTTTATGCAGGATAAAACTTAAAAAAAGTGAACTGGCAAACAGTTTTATTTGATGTGGATAAATATTAGTTACTGTTGTTTCAGTTCATATCACGTTATAGTTTGATACTTTTTAATTCAACAACTTAGATTTGCATTCAGAGCTAAAGTGTGAGATATCTTTCTCGTTATATGCCATACGTATGTCATTGTATTGTCGTGGATAGAGATTAGTAGTAAATTACTATACTACTAGTCTAACTCTATCGACAAATAAGTGTAGAAATTCGATTTTCATCTTGATTTTGACATTCATCTCACTATTTTTAAATAGGAGATTTAGCTCGTGCTTATCAAAATACACCATTTGATGAGAATGAACCTGAAGCAGAATGGGTTGAACGTGAACGTAGTCAATTTCGTCGGTTTAGAGATACAAATCAAGACGGTAAAATGGATAGAGCAGAAGTTGGCGAATGGATAATGCCATCGAATTATGATCCAATAGATGCTGAAACGAAACATTTGTTTTATCATGCTGATACTAATAAAGTAAGTTAATATTTTTTGAAGTCATGGTTTTTTTGCATTTTCTTTATAGATGTACAACTGCAATTGTAGATTTAACTAGTAAATTAACTGATTGCAGAGATCAATCTATTCTATGCTAATATGTAAAGTTGTTTAACTTTGCAACACTAGAAAAAAGGACAATTTAATTGGGTTTATGGATAGTTATACTGTGCACTTCAATAATATCAGGATCCGATTCAAATCACAAATCAATCATTGTTATATCATCATTAGAAACCTGGAAGCATTGGACCAGTGACCAGTGGAGTTCAACCCTGTCTGGTTTCGGCGAGTACCTACCGAGGTTATGCACTACCTTGGATTGATGAAAGTTAGAAAGGTCACGCTTCCGATTCCCACGACAGGGGGTCGTGAATGAGCATTACTGATGAGTCCCATATTCGGACGATATGGCTGTTGACTGCTTTCAGGTTTACAATAGTGGTGTAACAATGATCAACCAGTGATTTCAACGAAACTCAACAATCTTCACAACCGTAAGAAAATACCAGAATTTAACTTCGAACATTTTTTAATGAGACCTCTTGGTACATCTTATTTAGTGACTAACAGAAACATAACTATTAATTTGTACTTTCAAAAGAAATATGATCATACTTATCGTAATTTGTGTTACTTTTACAGCCAAAATACTTAAAAAATTATCATGGATTAAATTCAAAGATCATGCTGATCAGTAAAACAAGAACATTGTGTGATATCCTCCTAAAATAGCCAGACGTTCATTTACAAAACATAATTATTCACTGATAATTATACTCCAATGATCACGCTGCAAGAAATATTTATGAATTTTCAAATCGTTTGCTGCACATTGAGTAAAGTTGGTTAGGCGTTCGCGCACAATATCGAAGGTCCTGGGTTTGAATCCTGCGGGGTGCAGGAGTCGTGGATGCGCACCGCTGAGGAGTCCCATACTAGGACGAAACGGCCGTCCAGTGCTTCCAGGTTTCTAATGGTGATCTAACATTGATCGATTCATGGTTTCAAAAATGTGTAACTTAACAATCTTCACAACCCCGTAATGGAAAGTTGGAAATGTCGTCAAATAAATTTTAATCATTGATCTTAGATGAGAAGTATATTGATTTGGCATTTAGCATGTGTCAGTTTTAAACTCTTAGTGAGGATAAAACGATGATTAAGGGCTACTTGGATTTTTTCGGATTTCTAGTCAATATGAATCTGTTTATATACATCAGCTGAACGTAATTTAAAACCCCCTCAGTTATGCAACTAAATATTCTATTCAGTAAAATTACGTAAGGCAGAACAATAAAACAATGAAAACCCAAGGAATATGGCAGAATTATGAAACTTCGACTATTATGAACTGGTCTTTGTCCATTTTTTTTCTTCATTTCTTAGGACGGATTATTAACAGAAGCAGAAATTATTGCTAAACGAGATACCTTTGTCAGCAGTCAGGCGACAAATTATGGAAATGCACTGCAACAACATGAAGAACTGTAATTATAGTGAAAACAAAGTCTTAAACTATGTTAAAGTGCTTTATTGCATGTTCAACTGGCTTCTGTTTTGTACTTGAATAATGCAGTTAGTAAATGTGAATTAAATACAAATCGTATGCATTATCCATTTACTAATTTATAATTTCATTGTCTTCAGCTTACATTATTTCAAATAAGTTGCTTAGTTACATGTTAAGTATGTGAAATTTAAAAAACCTGAGAAAGATATCAGGAAATAGAATTTAACAATAGTTTGTGTGATAAATGTAATAGGTGAATGAAGAAATTGACTTATGAGATTAAATTCATTAACAGATCGAATTACTCGTATCTTTCTTCTCAATGGTAAATTGCACTAATCCTTTCTTTATTACGTTGATTTTCTCTCTCCCTTATTTACAGTTATCACCTCACGTCTATTTGAACTTTTATTTAATTTTTTACACATTTGAAATTGACTTTTTACTATTCTTCAAATAAAAGGACTTGACAAGTATGTGAGTGACCAAATTGTTCGAAACATATAGCGTAAATACATCACATTTTTCAGATCAATTACATCTTCTCACTGTTCTATCAAAATTTATAAAACGGACTAAATGTTTTATATACCAACATTGTTCCAATCGCATGAATGTCCATTATTGTCCGTATGTATTGATAAAATGTAAAAGAATGACGTGGCGTTTGACTTCTGATTGATGTTCACGTAAACGAAGCTGAAAAGGACGTCTACTTTGTCCTATGTAGTGTTTTTCACAATCTGAGCATTTTATTTTGCAGATGAAATTTGATTATTCTTCCTTTGTCCTTTGGTTCTTTGGTCTACTACATGGGATTGATTGAAATGATTCTGTTGGTTTTTGTGTTACACCTATTCTAAATAGTCTCAGTAGTCATGCTGTAAGTTCTGATATGTCTTTTATGTATGGCAGAGTGATCCATTGATTGGTTCATGCACTTTATTTTGCTTCTGTTGGATGAATCCACCAGATGTTTCAATATCCTCGAAATTTATCTTGATAAGTTGTATGTTGTGGTTTGAGGGAGGGATAGAGTTGGACGTAGTGGAATGTTGGGTTTATGTAGTTTCGGCCTGCCGTAGAATTGTGGGATTACTGGTCCATTGGATTTCATTCTCCATGGATCTTGTTTTGATATTTGTACTGCTTTGACAAGCTTGTTTACAGCTCTTGAGATTCGGCTGTTTCACTTTTTGATTGGATTTGTGTCCACTGGTTTATTTACGCTTATGACCTCACGTAGTCCCTCGGCTTTTCTGATATATTCTTCCTTGTCTATAGTTACTATAGTTTTTGTTTGCTGGAACTATGACAGTATCTTTCCTTGTTCTGAGTTTCTTTAAGGCTTTTCGTTGTTGTGCTTTTAGTTATTTGTAGTCTCCGTTCCGTCGAGTTATGGGTACTATTGCTTGTTTGAGTTCTTGTTGAGTTTCTTCATTTATTCTGGTCGTTTTTAGTGATGATTCATGTTGTGAAGAATTCGATTTTCGGAGCATCATTTTTGTTGTAGTTTAATCCTTTTTGGAGGAGCAGTTCTTCTACTGTCGTAAGATATCATTTTAACAGGTTAAATACTACTAGTAGACTACTCTTTTGTACTCACCTTTCTATTCCACCTATTCAAATCGAAACACAGATATATGAACGAAGAGGATTCTTTCCAGTTAATTCTCTTTAGATTCTACAGTTTTATATCCAAAATGATAATCTAAGAATTAGCCAGGTTTAAAAAAATATTTTTTCAAGTGTACATCCTTTCTCATTACGACTGCTAGTAAATTAGTTTAATCAAATTTCTTCAATTCACTTTGTAATCTTTGTCTCATCGTGATAATGTAATATCGGAACTTGTACCAAATTATATCTGTGCTAGGGGTTCCATATTGATGATGAGTGATTGTTTAACTTCATTGAATGGACTAATTATGAAGGGAAAAGCAAGTTGTGAGCGAATGCCTATTGTTTTCTTTAAAGCATGTTATATATTCAGACCATGTACAGATTTATTTAAAATCTTTAGGATCCAACTGAACTACTTAATTTTTGGGAAGTTTTATGGATTTTGTCATATCCATATATGCATTTTGTTATGCCTGCACGTAGACACGTCAACTTGATATACTTGGACTATTGCGAGTTTACCTAGTTAGAAAACGAGAGCGAGGATTAAAGATCCGGCGAGACGACATGCTACTCAAATCCGATTATCCCAACCCCCCATATTCAGTGAAAATAAGAGGACATAATATGAAGTAGAACCTGTATTCTACAAACATCCAGAAGTACGAGGTCCGAATCCAGAAGAGAATCAGGATCCCGGACTAGGGATCAGGGACCGGGTCCTGGCCCTGGTCGTGGTCATAAAACGTTACAAATAATGCGTACTTATACATTTTGGTCGAATAGGAAACAGCATCGAAGTGTGTGACATTGTCAGTTAAGGCGACAAATAGGAAACAACATTTGAAGCCACATTAACAGTCAGGACGACCAATAAGAAAAAACATTGGAGCATGTGACATTGATATCTAGGACGACCGTAAAGTTGACCAGTAGGAATGAACCAACAGAAATTGAACAATAATTCTCTCAGGATACTGGATGAATATCATAACACATTTACATATATTGCTCATCATAAGTTTATCAATTAAGGATTGTGAAATAAATTTTGTACAAATTCAAATAAAATGGACCGAACTTATGTTTATTCTTTAGCGTAATGTATAAGTTGACATATAATTCCGAAAGAAAATGAGGTTCGTCACAGGAAAGTGTTTTTGTCAATGAGTTGCAGCACCCTAGTTCAGTCTCCTATAATTATTAGTTGCCTAATCGGGATGGTGTATTAAATAAAACGTAAGCACATACAGGCAGAACCAGTTCGTTATTTGGTGCTTCTTTCATACTTCTAATATCTGAAGTATTATATTGTATTGTTATGAAAGTAACAGTGAACTTCTGTTTTAAAAACTTGGTCAATCATCGTTTTAAATAGTTTTTCTGAACATTAAATTAGTCACTATTTTTTTAAAATAAACAGATTGATGCTATTAAGTTTAGATTATAAATGTCATTCAGTAATGATTATTAGATAATTCTTGTTTAGGCAAAATCCTATCTACTTAAATTAAGCTGTAATTACAGATGAATCCGTCAGCATCTCGAAATGCTGATACTCGTATTTTACACGAAACTGATCGAAATATACTGCTTATTATTATGAGGCCTTAGAATTAAATATTTTGAAAATATATATGTCAACATCCTTTCTGTTGGGGATGTTAGATCACCAAAATTCGCTTGATAAATGCGTTATTTTGGATTTCACGTTTGCGAGCATAGGCTGATCAGTTGACCTTGAGATTTCATTTCCCACCAGGAAAATCTATGGTTGTGATTGGCTGCTGTGTATTTTAGTGTGCTATTTTCGTAACTGTCCCAAGGACGTTTCTATGATGTATAAATAAACGAGAGTTGTGTGGTTGATTGTATCACGATTGCTGTGTGTTTGTAGAATATACTTTCTACGCTTACCAAGACCTCTGCTTTACAGTTTGGGATTCAAGTTAGCCTACCTGGACGCTGGTAATTGTATCGTTCGCGCTTATTGACTAAGGTGAACTCGTAATAGCTTCAAGCGTACCTAGTGACGAACGTAACAGTTTCATAATTAGTTATTGAAATGTATCTTAAAAGAATGTAGATTTTCAAAATAATCAAAAATGCCTTTCGTGTAATCATCAACCATACCGTTAAGTGTAGCTGCATACTTTTACATGGTATCTAACTGTTGTATAATAGTTCACAAGGATAATAGTGAACTAATAGTTCATTAATAAAATGGATAATATTATCTAAAAACCCAGGCAAATCTATACAAATCTATTGGGGAAGAAGTATGCTTGATGGTTCGGTCTTAATGTCATTAGCTTTTAAGGAATTAACAAATACTGCATTGGATAATTTTTGTGTTTTTTGACCTTTAGACAAGTAGGATGAAATTAGTGTATCCTACCTTTTTAAAACTAAAAGCAACGTATTCACTTGTTATTAAACAATCATTTTAGTAACTTGAACACAGAAGAAAGAAAATTAATTCCATTTTCTCCTGGTCTGTATTGAACTGATTGAAAATTAAAATATAAAATCAAATGTTCACGATATAGTTTAAGCATTGTTTCAATAATGTTGACGTTTTTGTCATGTTTTCAGTTGCTTGTTAAATTGTTTAAATACATACAATGTTTGGCGCAAAAACCCCTTGATACATTTAGGATTTAAAAGATTCTGTGCATGGCATCATCTGCTTCCTGTCAATGAATTCATATGTTTATAAAGTACATTGTAAAGAAAATCAGTTGCATATAACTGTATTGAGTTTAGATTACAGTTTGTCATATTATTCTTTACAGAGGCTGAATAATTTCAATAAATGTTGATGGAAACATTCCACGACAGCCAGTGTTAGCCGATTCGCCACGATACCAGTTTTCATCAATCGCCTCGAATAGATACACTATTTCTCCAGGCTGAAAAAAAACATGATAAAGTGATATAACCAGAATTTCAGTCTACCAATTCATTTGTAAATATTAAGCTTATTATTTCGAGAATATTTGATAAGAGAATTTTTCATTTTATTCTGATAGAACATGACTAAATAAATCAGACTAAATTTGTAATTATATATTTCTATGAATAATCACGTGCTCGGATACAAAAGTTTTATATTCTGTAGACTGCCAAAGTTCACCCACAAATCAACTTGGGTTAAATTTAGGATCTCCGATCGTCAAAAGAATCCCTAGTTCAAATTTAAAACTGATTTTAGTTTGTTGGATCAACAATAAATTGATTCGATCGATGATATCTATCTCAATATAGATATGTTTGAAATTCATCAATCCCTACTTTTCCTACTGAATATGTGGTTATATTTAAATTCACAACTAGTAGAAACCGAATATACTGACTTCAAGCAAACAATGGAACACAGTATTTGTGGTTTAATTATTCCTTGTTAATTGAGCTTTAAAAATGATCATAGATTTTATAATCTGAAACTAGAAAATCTTGAATTAAGATAATGCCACTTTTTGTGATCACATAAAAAGACTAATTCTTTTTATTCTTAGTCTAATACTTGGTGCTTATTGCATATATCTTACTTAAAAATGTTCAACATTTGTTATCAAGCTAAGGGGAGTTATGATCTAGGTACCAGTTTGAATTAACTTACGTAGAAGTATTTATAAGTGAAAATCCTTTATATGCCAATCAATTACAAGCGACTAAAACAAAATGGCTGTATTCGCGTCAGCATTCAAGATTCATCACTGGTCTTTTTACGTGATAATTACTAGATACATCATCTAAAAGAACGAAGTTGTTGTTCTCTTATGGATACGGATGTAATTATACAATATGTTGACGGTTCGCATCAGCGTATTGCAACACTATCACTTCTATCCAGCTGTTTAACTACTTACTCAGCAATACCCTAACAATTTCCTAGTGATAATATATGTATTCTTATTAGCAGTCTCTATAAACAGCAATTTCAAAATCATTCATCCAACCCGAAGATACATTGTCTATCGTTTTGCCACACTTTGAAGCTAGATTTCAGATAAACAATCATTTCACTGTCACAAATACAAGGAACTCACCAAAGTTACGTCAACTTAAATTAATGGCTATGTTATGTGCAATCAGTATCTATTATTCCGACATAAAGATATCTGTAGGTCATTATGGTTACTACTATTTTTTCAAATAAGTAATATACAAAATTTATAAAATTCTATAATGAAATATGCAAAATGTTACTGATAATTACCGATAAAGGTAAATCCTCATCAGTTTCTTTATCAAATGTATATAAAGCTTTGCCACGTGGTCTAGTTTCGAAATATTTAGCCAATTCATTTGAGTTATCAATAACTCGAACATTGCGGGTCTTTATTAAACCACTAATACCGAACCAGTTTTCACATGTTATCCATTTTTCATTTGATGATGAGGACAATGAATGCTGGAGATGAGAATTATCAAGTCTGTCACAAACTTCCGGATTCGAATCAATACATTTTAGTATAGTACCAACCTGTAAAGAGAAAATAAATATAATGTAGAAAAATATCTAAGGTGTAAAATTTCATAGGATTGTAATTTTTTTTATGTAATTAAGGATGATTCATTATAATGGTGTCGGACTTTATAGTATATAGTTTAAAAATGAAGTTACATTATATTGAATCGTATTCAATGATAAGTCTGAATATGCAACTATATTGAACATCTAGGTTTGATTTCATCATATTGATTCTGATGACTTCAGTTGTGAAGAAATCTAATCTTGCTTTTGTTGGTAGATTATTAAGAAACTGAAATCTAAAGACGCTGCTTAAATGCTTAAATTTAGTGATCGTAATGTAAGAAAATAAAAATAGTATTCAGCTATTTGTGTAAATTGTGAATCGCTTGTCATTCTATACAGTTCGTTTGTTAGTATTATTTTAATCTAATAATGGAGGAATTTTATAATTTGTATATAAACGTTTAGGATTCTTGCCTTCTTTCAGATAAATCATCTAACTGATCAAGGTACTTTGTCAGAACTTTGCACACTTTTTCAGCTGGTATATTACACTTCCCTATTCTTAATAATCCTCGTATGGCATTATCGCAACTATTCTACGCCGATTGACCCTATGTAACCCATTAGCCGACGAAAACTAGTAAAATTTCAGTCAAAAATATTAACAAGGTTCACAACCAAAACATCCAGTTCAGAGAACCAAACACCACCACAATCATCCACCTGAGCTACAAATTTTCTCCACCTTCTCAAAGGTTCAAATCATTTCAAATTGAATTATATTGTAAACTTTAATCATATTAAATGCAATAAGAATTGTTCATAATAAATTAGAACGACTTACAGTTGAATGAAGTTCACCAGTTGATTCATTACCCGATTGTTCATGTTCAACTATTAACCAGTCATTTGGTGCAATCAATCTACAATGATTACTCTCTGCAGTAGGGTCAATCAATGAATATTGATGATTTGATTTACGATGTGGAGACTGCTGATTAGGAACTACTTTTATTGATGCTTTTTTGGCTGTTGTTGTTACTGTTGAAACTTGATTAATGTTTGGTGATTTTCCTGATGAAGATAAATTTATATAAGCTTTCGATGTGATTAACTTTTCTGGAGGTTTTGTTATGGTATATGCTCTTTTTGATAAAGTGTTGTTATCATTATTATTTTTACTTGTAGAGAAGCTGTTATTATGAAACAATTTAGCACTTCTAACAATTGTTGTGGATTTCACTTCTGCTGACTGAGGTTCATCAGTACTTTTAATGCCGTTATGCATGTTTGATTCACTTAAATGTTTTACATGATTTGATGTGTTACTTAAATTGTTATTAGTAGTATTAATTGTAATATCACTCTTATCCTCAGTTGAATATGAACTATCTGTAGAATGCCTCCTGTCTACATCTGACCTTTTCGAATTATCCAGTCTTGGATTTATCGTATGTTTACTGTTTGCCAATTTATTCGAACTGTTTGAATGTGAAGATCCATTTGATGAATGGTTCAATTCTGGAAGTAGTTTGCTCAATACTGTCTGTTGGTTATTACAAAAAACAAATAAATCGTGATAACATTGAACAAGAAAGATAATTAATATAGTTTAAAAAGCGCAACCTTACTTTTAAAACACGAAACTAACCGTGAAAATATGGTTACAAATTTAAAGCCTTCAACCTTTTTTTAGGCTCACACAAATATAATATTTGAGTCCCTCAATTCTAAGTCTTGAGACAAATGATAGTTAGCTTTTATGGATTATATGTGAGTTATCTGCATAATTACGTGAAATCATATTAACTATATTCAGATTGTGAATACTGATGGTAATAAATTATTTTACTGAGATTCGATACAGAGGCATTACACTTTGCACTTTCCTGATGTTGAAGACAATAAGAGGATAAATCAAATCCTACGTTGCAAAATCAACATATTACTATTCACTTTAGCAAGAAATTGTAGTTACCTATCGAAATCCTGAACTGGTATTAGTTGAACCACCACTGACTAGTCGTTTCATCTCCGTACGGAACTCATGGTCAGTACTCATCAACGAAAAAACATGTGAAACTCGAACCTAGGATCTTTGGTCTTGCGCACGAATGTTTAACGTTTAAACCCCTGAGGTGGAATTCAGTGCTGTTAATATGTAACCTCGATCAGTCCGCGATATTGTACGACCATCTCCTACTCTCTTCGGTGGGAAGCTGGCTCATACCTAACACCTTTGAACTCCACTGTGATGGCTTTTGACTAGAACTCCACATTTTTAATGGTGGTCTAAATTGAACGGTTTCTTTGTAATTCATCAACATCCGTATTCTTATAATTAAAATTTTAGTTTTATCTGTTTTGCTTGTTCAGCGAATTGTTAATTTAAGGACTCAATTTGTGATCATTTACCTGTAATTCCATACATTTCTTCATTAATTCCATTTTAAACATTTCATCAGTGTCAAAAGTTTAAAAAAAAATATGTTGCACCTCAAAGTTCAACCATAAAATGTTTACAAAATCACTGATTTTTAGTGATCCTACCATTCACTGTTATTGATGCTAATCAGGAGTTTCGTCTGCATTTTTATAGGAATTCTTAGCATCTCACACTGTAATAAGATGATATTACGTTTGTACCGTTATATATTTCAGTATTTGTGCAAAATGCTTCAAAATAAACCTCTTTTACTCATTACATTCATTATCAACGCTACTTAACCAGGATGACAAATCATCTGTAGATCAGTAATACGATATTCCATCATTACACTTTAGTTTTGTTCATCTACGGACTACAAAGTTTAGCAGATATCCCATCCAAGATTTTTCTTAGCTCAAATCACTTTAGACGTAATCTGTGAATATATAATCAAGTTAATTTTGTTTCAATAAAAGGTAAATATTTCTAAGTTATATGACGTTGTACAAACTGAGGTGTATTAAAAATGTAGCTTACTTCAACCATCAGAGGTGAATGATATCGATTAGTTTTAACGGATGTTTGTTCTTCTTCTTCTACATGACCACCGTTCTTTGTTGTTTGGTTTTTTTCCTTGGTTATCTCATCTTGGTTCTTCTCATTAACATTATAGTTATTTTTATTTTCATTGAAATTGTTCTCAGTACCATTATTTTTACTAACATGAATATTATTTCCTTCTCCAAATGATTTTAAACGATCTACTGATGTAGGAGTTGAAGAAACCAACAAAGGATGTGATCCTGGATACAAGTGTTTTGCCCCAGATGGCATTTGTCGACTACGATAAGAAACAATACCTTTTTCTTGTAGCATCTGAGCTATTTTTGATATTGCAGTTTGATTTCTTGGCTTAATTGAATTAATTATAGGTGGTGCATTGCCAGATCTAAGCACTCGTTGTGGCTCCTCTGGCTGATCAGTTGCTGTTGTCGGTAGTGGAGGTGGCGGAGGTAGTGGATGCTGTGATTGTGTACGTGATAAGTTTAAAGACTTGGCAGTGGAATGTAGGATTGGTCCTGTGTGAATTTGTTTACGATTAGGAAGTAAATTACTGGCTGGTAAACCTGTACTCAATGGCTAAACATTTAGAAAATATTTTTGAATACATTTAATCATATATTATAGATATATGTATATGAAGTAATATGTGAACAAATTGATCTTTCTATCGATAAAATTTAGCCGGGATTGAAGGTTAGATGGGTAGTTACCTTTTACTAATCACTGATCAATAGTTGTAGATATCTCAGTCCTAAAAAGAAATGTCAAGTTTGAATGGCTCATCGGTAGTGTTTACTATAATGCTGGTTGGCTATAGTTTAGGTTCCACATAGAACGCTAGATTTTTTAACCCTCCAAATACCTCTTTTAGGTGATAAGTAATTAAGAAAAAAAAACGCACGTTGAAATGAAGTACCTATCAATTTCCTCTGATAAACTAATAAAATGACTGTATTGCTTCTAAATATATTATCATTCTCTTTACAGCTAAATTAAGTAGAAAGAAATCTAATGAATTTATGCTTAAACTACACCTCTTCAGTACGTTTGTACAGAAATTTTCTTAAGTATGAACGATATGTTCCATATAATGTTTCTGTAAAGTTTCTATATACATTTCTCATTTTGAGCTTTCAAACTTACTTACTAAATGACCAAATGATGATTCTTTATTCTGATTATCAACTCACTACTAATATCACATACAACAGTAAATTTAGTTAAATAATTTCACTAATTCATAATAGTTTGATTGGTAGTGTTTAAAGTCCTATGAACCTGACAAACGACGACTAGATATCTATAAATTTCGTATTAAATCCTCAGGAACTAAAACATCCAACTATAAAAGAAGTTTAGTGAAGCTCAACAATGTGCTACATATTAAAACATCTCTCGAAAAGGTTCTATGAAATGCAATGTATAAAATCGTGTCTCATTCACTGTAAAATATCATTGATATTTATCACAAACGTAACAATATTTGAAGCAGCTTTTGATAATTAGTAACTTTCTTTGTTTCGTTCTTATAGGCTAATTGTTCAAACAAATTACTGACCACCTGTTTGCGTATCATTCAAAGAGCGTATGTTATCATTACTGAAAGTTGTATATCTATGACTGCACATTCTTACGATAATATCTAACATAATGAAGTAGTTTGATTAAAGGTGGTGTTAATTTCCCATTATTATTGATAGAAAGTGAAATTTTCAAAATCAATTAAAATGACTACAAAGAATATTTTTTATCTTCTGTTTGGTCTCTTGAAAATCACAATCACACGTGAGCAAATACAATTTACAATAATAGTAAAGTCTAAAAATTTAAACAATTGGAATTAAGTTAAACTGCGGTAAATTTTAAGTTTCACTTTCTGTTGTTATCCTAAATCAGCCTCCAGAATTTCCAGAACTTTTCATTAATATGAAAAAAAAACCTGTTAAATTAGCCATAAACTATTGGATATGGCGTTCAGAGCAAAATCTTATGCAGGAAAGTGTTAAAGGTCCTCAATCTAACTGTCGTAAATCAATTTCTAGGAAGTATTTTTAATAAAGTTGAAATGATTGCCAAAGTGTAAATGTAAAATAATTTTATGTATCCACAGATTAACTTACAGTAGAGTATACTCTGGATGCTGTACTTGTTAGATTGTTGCGAGAATTTCCATGTTTTACAAATTGACTAAAGGTTTGTGAATTTAACGATTCTGTTGAATCTGACGACTTAATGACAATGAATAAAACAGGTATACAAAGAAAATAATGTTAGTCAAATGTGAACAAATATAATATCAACATTTTTACAATTGTCTATGAAGTTCTCTCTGAGCCATTTATTTTAACACAGATTTAAAAATGTATAAAAGGACGACGTTCTGTGATTCTAACAACTAGAACTATAGGTTTTAAAGTCAAATCAACCAATAAATATATCAGCACAGATATATGGCAGCTAACGGTAGAGTTCTGTTATATTACTCATCATTTTAACGTCTGATGGATTTGAAGGTCAATAATTTGTTAATCATTTCAACCATTCATGCTCAAATATTGCAAACGTCAGGTTTTACCTATTCTCGGCAAATAAATGTTCTCGGATGTTTTCTATTCATTGTTCAGTCACTAGAAAAGTAATTATTAGGTATATGAATTTAAAAGAATACGATAATTATTCAGATCATTGCAAAGATTTCAAGTGAACATCTGAGAAATATTCAAATCTACATTTTTTTAATCTTAATAGTTTTATTGTAAAAAAGAAAATGATAAATCGTAACTTGTTTAACAGAAAACTCAGAATAACAAATGATCACGTTTAATATGATCATTTCGAAATTGAATGATTTGATCTAAGCTAATAGAATTGCCAATATTATTTGTTCTAGCTGATGTTGAATGCCGGAAAAATACTTTAGTACATTTATATGAGACTTTTGTCGGTAACAACAACAACCTGGTCTGTGTTAATAAGTGCATAAACTGTTATTTGGAATCAATAGACATATAAGGATATGCATATCTGATTCAATTTATAAGAAAGGCTTTCAGAGTATTTATCCAAACAACTGGTCCTTACTGTACTCCAAATTCATCCGACACACTATCTGTTAGTTAGGTTTCAACACGTTGTACATATATATATATATATATATATATATATATATATATATATAACTCTCAGCTTATAATGCAATGGATGTCAAGTGTTATGAGCTGTCTGTATAATATACACTTAATTTTTGAATTCACATATGTTGAATCGTTTTTTAAAGCCTGTCCAAACTCCTTGCTCATGTTTTGATTTCGTTGATAAACTTTCTTGATCCTGTGATTCTTGGTTAAATGAGAAATCATCTAATTGGGATTTATACATCAAATCTACTACGAGATGGAAAAATAATATTAATACGGCTTAACTAGTAGAAGGATAAGGTTACTTCTGAGGAGAAAATTGACAATTGTGTCTCTATGCTAATGTGTTATGGCAACTTGAACTGATGTACATACGTATGAAATTCTAAGTTGAAACTGACTGACTGACTGATATACTTTTGATAGAACAGTGAGAAGACGTAATTGATCTGTTCTGTCAAAATTTATAAAAGGGACTAATTGTTTTAAATGATTGATATACGTCAAATAGCGATAAGTTACATAGGTTGTCACCGAAATGTTGAGATAATAATTCTGAAAATTGTTTAAGTACTGAAATGGATGATACTGAACAAATACGATTATTATTAGTATTCATACAATTTTATCATAATGTTGTATTAAAATGACTATTTTTAAAACATGCAATTCAGTTGATATAGATGAAAGGTAAAAAAATAGATATTTTTAAAAATAAATTGTATCATCATATATGAGTAGTAAAAAATGAAAACAAACTAATATAATTCACCATATTGAACACACTGAACAGAGAATTTCGTTAAAATGAACTAAACAAATCAGATCAGAAAATATGACTATTTATATTGCACACATTAGTTGAAGAGATATTTTTTGTTTGTGAATCATCTAAACAAACTTTTCTGTTCATTTCATGTTAAACGTTTAAATTAAATCAAAATTATCTGCATAAAATTATAAAATAACATCATAAATGTTATATGTGTACAGCACACTGCAAATGTAGTAAAAAAAATAAAAGTCCCAATATGTTAATTCAACTAAATTCATAGTGCATACATTTTATTATTGAATGCATAGTGTAAATTATAATGACAACGTCTTCATGTATAATTTTTTCACTAAACAGTTGTGAAGTTTGTTGAGTTTGATTGAAATCATGAATCTATCACTGTTAAACCATCATTGTAAGCCTGTAAGCACTGGTCTGATTAAAGTTAGACATGAACACAGGCTGTAGTCTAAAGACCGAAATTCCTCGGTTCGAATCCTACTAGCAGAGGTCATGATTATGCACCGCTGATGTGTCTCATACTAGGACGAGATAGCTATCCAATGCTTCCAGTTTTCTAATGATGGTCTAACACTAATCGATTCATGATTTTACTGTAAAATCTTCATTAGTGAAATTTATTCATGTTTTCTGTTGAACAATAACATAAACATGTTTACTTCATTAGTGTTTCTATTCTGAATATGAGCTTGTAAATATTTTGAGATAGTATATATATATATATATATATATATATATATATATATATATATATATATACAAATCAACGATTATTGTGTAAATTTATTTCAAGGTATAGTTTGAAAACAAAATGTAGTGGATGAATTCAATATCTGCAAAAATGGTTAACACTACACAGAAAATGATTAGATTATGAAAATGAGATTCTAAGTTGGGATATATATATCAGATTGTGCGCGCATTGTAATGAATGACGTGAAATAAACCACCATTTAGTGCATTGGATAAATTTATGTTGATATACAATGGTTTTGCATTGTTTGTTTGTATTTTCGCTTAAATCATCTGCGAAGTAAAACACTTACACTGTTTTCTTGTTTAGATTTTAAACTGGCAACGCGAATGTTGGATGGACGTTTAGGTAGATTACGAATAGGAAATGTTTGGCTGCATAATGCATAGTTAGTAATAATATTATGCTGTTTAGAAAATTAAGTTTAGAAATACACATAAATACCATACAATTTTAAACTTGTTCATTTTTAATGTAAGTAATGAAGGTGTAATTAAAATTGTCGGATACATTTATTTGTACTGAACAAAGATACATTTTACTCAGAGTATGAAATGTTCGTCGATTGATATGCTTGAATGCTATTACGAGTTCACCTTACTCGGTAAACGGAACGAAAGCAATGATACAGTGACACGATAGGCTATCCTAATCCATTTGTCCCCAGCCTGGCTCAGTATATCAAGAAGTCTTGATAAGGCGTAGAAAGTGTATTCTACAAGCACCCAGAAAATACGAGGTTGACAAGCACACAAATCGAGCTTATTTATACATGATAGAAACGTCCTTGGGAGAGCCACAAAAATAGCGTACTAAAATAATCCATCAACCAATGACAGTCAAGGATTTTCCGAGGGGGAAATGTGAGCTGAAGGTCAACTGGCGTGAAAACATGTGTAATCAACATTTCAGAATAAAATTACAAAATGAGGACCTTCCCAAGTGAGTTCTGGGGATCTAACGTCCCCAACAAAGTGAATCATACGAGAATATATACTAATGTCTTTTATTTATATTGATCGTATCTGTATATGAATAATACTTTTCTTGTATCCATGATTCAAACAGTGAGTCATTTGACAATTGATTATTCTTTCTGGATGTATTTCATTTAACGGAAATGAAGGTAAAATGATTCTCTAAGGTGTTCCACACGACATTCTCAGGGATGATGGACAGTCTTCATCAATTTCAATCAATAGAGTAAATAAAGTTCATCAAAATTTTATAAATATCCTACGATAAATTTTCAATTCAGTAATCAGATGTACATATATTATATTCACCTCTGTTTTGATCAAGCATATAAACACTAGATTGTGAAAATCTGTAGGCTAGAAATTGAATGAAAATTCTATGGGAACCTAAGAATCAATTACATGAACATTACAGCCAAAAGAAACAAGGCATACAGCACTTAGAAGATGAACCATCATCGTTTACTACTTATTACTTTACTCTAAACTAAATTAGCCTCAAAAATCGGTACAAAATATTTTTTAGAAAAGAAATAATATTATACAAGTACCGAAACATTATTATTACTGTATACAAACCATGGAGTAATTATTGGCTGCTCTGAACACAATTTCATAACAAGCAACCAACTCTTAATTATGATCTTTTTATATAACTAAGTTGACAGATAGCAATGATTTGTAGAACCTATGATTTCAGTCGCAGATGATTCTAATTCAATAGGTAATTTTTATCTGAACAAAAAAAGCTTGTCAAGATTAATCATTCAGATCATACTTAAGTGATCATAACTTAAAACTGTTAAGAAAAAAGCTCTGAAGATCATTTAAGATGTAAACTACTTTTACTCTTTGAAATACTAGAAAAGTATCAATTTTATCATAACTTCAGATTGATTTAAGTCGCTATTTGGTGGACTCTTTTACTAAATGATTCTAAATAGATGAAATGTAAACAAATTTGATGGTTTTTAGTCAACCAACCATTTTTCTCAATATCTGAAAATCATTTTTAATGAATATTTTCCAATTTAGTAACTGAGTGAATGAGTACAATACAAGCCTAGACTTTATAATGATCACATTGAAGAATATTTCTCTATTTTGTTTAAACTATGCTTCGTTTTACTTCTCATACTCAGTTTGTTGTTTAAAACAATACTTGAAGTTATGGTTGTAAAATAGGTCAGTTATAACATTTTTAAGTTTCATATGACGATTAAAATTGGAACTTTGAAACTATGTTTGAACTTAATAATGTCATATATTTTGATAACTTATTTATATCTGTTCATAGATAGTTTGATAAAGCTCAGAAATGTATGTAAACCATATTCAAATTCTTTAGTTCCTACCCCCAGTTTACCTATTGTTTTTAAAAGTACACTTTTTTTACAGCTTGTAACATTTTTAAATTATAAGATAAGAAATTCAAACTAGATTTTACTTACGGGTGAGGTCAGGTTTTTAACTTTTGGCAACGGAACAGGTTTTTTTTTAAAACACGGATGAGAATAAATCCTAGTGGTATTTGTAAGATTTTTTGATCGATCCGAATATCCAAGTTGCGTTTTTGGTTGAGTATTTGTGAACAAACCAGATGTTAATGGAATCCGTACTTCAACGTGATTCATTGGAAATATCCCAACAGCACCGGTTCTTATAGATCTGCCTTTATACCATGATTCATCAACAATATCCTCGAGCATAATAATATCACCAACCTTTAAAATATTTTTTAAACTGTCAGTTACAACAGATAATAGTTAAATACTGTAATTTAACATATCGTTTATCGTGAGCGGATATCTTTGAGCGTTTGATTAATCTCATTTCCAAGAAAAAATAAAATACCACTCTCAATAACCATGAATAAATCCCTTCGAAAATACTATGTTTGTTTGATACTATTAAAAATATTGATACTTTGAAATAATGAATCGGTCAGTGTTAGACCACCATTAGAAACATGAAAGTACTGGAGGGCCATCAAGTCCCCAGTGAGTGATTCATCAGCAGTGCACATCCACGACTCCCGCTAGGAGGAATCAAACCCATGACCTTCGGTCTCGCGCGTGAACACTTTACCTATAGACCACTCAGCTGGCGTCCAACGGTGTTAATGTCTAGCTTCTATCAACCGGCAGCTTTATTCAACTTCAAATATCGTCTACGGTGAGCACCGCCTCACCCCTAAGCAGGATTGAACTATACTGGTCACTACTTCTCACAACAACTTGGATAAACTTCATCATGAAGCTAGTCACTAGTGAGCACATGATACTTCTCATTATAGGGTTGTACAGAGTTGAAGTCATGAATCTATCAATGTAAGACCATCATTGAAAATCTGGAAGTATGACCGTCTAGTGAGTCTATATCTTATTTTCTCAAGCATAGATTGCAAAACACTCTCAAAATTACCAGATAGTACGGAAAACTAGTTGAAAAATGTTTTTTAGTAACTAAAGTATCTCCAAAATAGTGGGTGGTAACAAAAGCATGCATAAGGTTTCATTAGTTATAAATATTTTTAAGAATGTGTTTGCACGAATGAAACTAGAGGTATCGGTGTGTGTGTATTCATTATTTGTAAGTTACAGCGCTATAAACAACCTTCTTTTTTGATATTTATATTGGTGTATGTTTAATTCATCTATTAGTTTTTATTCATTTTCATTAAAAAAAATACATCGTTTCCTATTTAAAGTTTCGCAAAATACTTTTGATGACAATGAAATAAATTGACTAAGATTTATTGATTTTTTTTCTATCTTAATAAAATTTCTAAAGTAAATAACTCGTCATTCTATGGATTTATTTGTAATACAAAATAGTGTGAATTTTGAATTTTTAAAGAATATGATAAACGTATTTGTTAACTTACTTCAAATTCTAAATCACCATCTACTCCAGTTACAAAATTATATAAAGCAATCACATGTGGTTGACCCATATGTGCAAATTTTTCAAATGATTTCATGTTATTAAGCTCACCATTGAATCGTTCATCAATTGATAATGCCGATGAAGAAGATAAACTGACAACACTTGATCGATGCGTATTTCGATAGTTTTTTGATAAATTATCTAAACTGTTTTTTAAGGAAAATATCAAATCGAAAATAATTATTAGAACTTTTTTTTTCAGGACTGTGAATAATATAACATATAAACATTTTTTTCAAGAGAAATATGTACATTCTTCCATATTCAAATATCACAATGAAAGCGTTCCAATTTACTGATATTTGCCTTTACAATAAAATAAAATAATGATTATCACGTTTTAACAGTTGTGTTATTATGTATGCTTTGAATTATCTATTTGATATAACACAAGATATACTACTGAGCAGTTTAACTAGTAAACACAAAATTCATGAAGTGGATATCACTTGAATGAAAAATAATTCATTGGTACTTAAATTTAGCAAAGATTAATTGATAGTAATGGACAACATTATATTGTTTGCGATTTGTTGCAAAAGGCATACTGACGAATGTACCAATACAGTAAACTTTTCATTACATAAGGATGAGTTATTATGACAGCATTGATTAATTCACAAAGCCGTGAATCTGTTGAACCAGGATGGCTTGTTAATACTTATTTGTCTTGCATAGGTAACAAAACTCATGAAAGTACACCGTACAAAGACCATGGATCAAGTTAACTGAACTTACACTTGTGGACTATGATTAAATGCCCATGGTGCATGGACATGTTTGTTCTCAGCTGATGCAGCTCGATAAGATCCAGAAAATGGTGAAGGTCGAATAGGCTTAGCCAAAATACTCTATATTAATAAAATTCATATGTAAAATAGAACAGAAAATCTAAAATGCTTCATGTACGGGACTATGTCATTTATTAAAGAATAGTTAATTCATCATAAAAAATGGTTATTAGGTAATTCATAGTTAATCACATTGTGGTGCGCGCCACTTATAAGTAGTATATGAGGCGAGTGTAAACGTAATGTCTGGCAGCAGAAGATGGCCGAAGATCAAGAAAGGAAGAGTTAGAACACAATGGAATTTGTATGAAACGCATGAATATTGAACGGTCAGACAATGGATTGATGGTGGATTGAACATTTGCAAATTAACGATTTACGATATGGTTTTCCTATTTACTGAGTAACTCTGTAATTTTCGATAAATACAATTTGGTTGTCCTCACCTGTGTTCTCCTTCACTACAACATGATAGTGAAATGTTAGTACGATAACCAAAGTAAGTTTGAACACCGTGAGGTATATATTTCATTTGTCAATGAACAATATTAAATGTACTAAAAATTGTTCTAAGTATTTCTTAAATGGATTCTTTGACACAATTTATTTGAAACGTCAATATGAATAACGCGCATAATTTAAATGAAGTCATATGAATGAAGAAATCAACAACTATAATGTAATAACAATTGTGAAACAAAATCCCAACTTCACTAAAGAACAATTTATGATGGCAATACATTTTCAAAGACATTGTATTTATAGTAAATGGTTGTTGTTGTTGATGTTTCTGGAGAAAATTTTAAAATGATCTGTGCCGGTTACACATCTTGATAGTAAACCTTTATTTTTCCAGGGGCTTAAAAGTGTTTAATTTATTGCACTATATATTTCTATTGCTTTATAGATCGATTTCTGTTGACTATGTCGTTTATAGATAAGTTCCCCAACAGCAACTTTCATTCGATGGATTAGTAAGCAATCCGGGTTCTCCAGACCACAGGTGTTTACTGCAGATAAGCATAAGTAGATGCAAAGCACAGGTTTGCGACTTCATGATGTTCCTCTGAATTCATTCAGTTCCGAAACGAATTTACGACATGTAAACATTAGCTGAACACCTTTTCAGTAAAAAAAGCGTTAGTTGTTACGAAAAAAATGTTTTCTATTATCTTACTAAATGTGCTAGTTTTTTCAGACAATGATTATTTACTGTCATAGCAGTTTGACAACAATTATGCGCTCCAATAATTGCAATATATTCTTAAATTCATTAGAAAACCTATTGTTAACGTGCCTCACAAGATGGTGTCCGCGAAGTGAAATTGTTCAAAGTGAAAATACGCATCACTGTAATCAGAGTTGTAGATATGCTCAAAACTGAGCTCAGAATTATGGATTTATCCGACCGACAAGTAATCCCTTACACTCACTAAGATTATGATATTACTCTTAATGGTAGTTTAAAAGTTTGGATTTATGTCTTAAGCGATAATACATACTTCTTCAGAATAACTAACCTACACATGGATTACGAGGAGAAACTGATTGAACAATAACTAAAGACTCATAAACTAACTAAATGTTAGTTTCCATGTATTCTGATGAACCATACAGATCCTAAAATCAAAATTAAAACATTCTTCTTTAGGCATCAAATAAGACTTGGTTTGATACAGAAAAATTACTCAATGAAATTTTTCTGCACTATCTGTCAGACTTATAAGAGAAAATGAACTAGTACTGTAGTGCTAGTAAAAATGTAAAACAGGCTAAAACATGCTAGGTACTTTTCACATGATGTAGCTTTACCATAAAGCTAAATTTCCAAAGTGACTTAAATGTGTTCATTCAATACGTTGAGGTATTTGTTATGTTGTACGTATCATCATAACAATTTAACAATGACTTACTGGTTCACGCTGTTCACTAGTAGAACGTTCACCGGCCATTTTAAAGTTATTTGAATTAGTTACCTAAGTTATAAAAAAAAATGAGAAACGATGTAATGTGTTGTTGATTTAGTTGTTGTAGAAGTAAGAAACCGAAATGTGAAACTACTCTAAGAATATAAACATTACTCTACACAGTTAAGAAAATAATCAACAACTGAAAGCGGATATTAATAGGATTTAAAGATACTGAACTATTCAAGTAGATACATCGATAACCACAGTGAGTTTGTGCAGAATGTTTGCTTCAGTAATTGATTAAACTGTCATCCGCAATATCACCATTGATTTTCTAACGAATTTATATTTCATTCTTCAGTAAAATGATGATCTTTGAATTACTCATGATATTTTTGATTTTCTGTCCATGAACTGTCGATGCTAACGATTGTTTTATGACACTATATTACAGTTCAAATATAAATTAAATGTTGTACTGTATGTCTGTGATATAGAGATGAAACCAAACCAGTGACCGATGACTGTTTGTATTAAAATTTAAATGAGATAGTTTTCGTTCAGCTAATAATTTTAAGTAGGACACACGTAAAATAACTTAAGCTTTCATGACGTCACAAACCTAAATAATGCGATTTCTCACTAATTACTTGATTATTACGTTTTATGAAAAGAATTATTTTATATAAATTTATAAAACTTATAAAAAGGAAGCTCTTAACGCGCAAGATACTGAATTATAAAATTTTGGAAAATATGAATAACTGAACACTATTAGGTCACCGAGCACACACTGAAACATAAAGAAGATGATACTTTGAAAAATTAAAAGATAATTCCGGATGCAGGGTAACATTTTTTTTTCGAGAGGTTTAAATATTTCTTAGATATGATTTCGGGTTTTAATCTACAAGTAGAGGGAATGTATACTCGTTTTAAATTAGGTTTCTGTGTTGATTTCGAAAGCTGACATATCAAAAGAAACTTCTGCATCATTGTAGTGGCTAGTGTTAATTAAATTACACAAATAGATCGTTTGATATCTATTGCTCAATCATTAAGGTTAATGTTCAAAACGTAATAATAAGCATATCTGTCTGATTCCACAAGAAGAGTATATCTGTTGAATACACTTAGTACTGCAGAAAACTAGCTCAGTCAGTCAGTCAGTCAGATGCAACGTAGAACTTCGTACGTAAGTACATCAGTTCAAGTTGCCATATCACATTAACACAGAGATGTAATTTTCAATTCAAATCCAATAGTAGTAGAGGTAGTGAAGGTATTTGAAGTCATCGGATAGGTTAGGATTAGAAAACATTATTCAAGAAGTATGATTCAGTGAGTTAAGTTTATACAAAAAAACTAGATGTGTTGAAGAATCCAGAAAATAAGGATTTGAGAGAAAACAAAGAATAAATGCACCTGCACCATTGCAAACGGTTTTGAGTCATGTCAATGAGGGTCTCTAACCATTGATTATTATCATCTCGTGGACCCCAACCAGGTAGTCGACACTTGCCAACATGACTCAGTCCACTCGTCAATGACTTCATGGATTTCGGCCATGTTGTGGTTTGGCCGCCCCTAACTTTCTTCCAACCTACTCCTGCACTACAAAACAAAGCTCTTCGAGGCAGTCGGTGGTTAGGCATACGCAGTACATGTCCCAACCACCTCAACTGATGAAGTTTAATTACTTCATCTATTGATCTGCCATTCTTACCTAGCACCCGTTTCCTAATAACAGCGTTTCTCACTAGCTGGTTATCTTTATTGTATTACTGACCAGTTAATTCGTATTAATGCTTTGATTGAAAAAACATAAATTGTTCGCGTTTTAATCAAAGATAACCTCTGAAAGATGTTTTGTTTAGTAATGTGTAACTAACTATCAAGGTCACTCTTGATATTGAAATTCTGATTTGGACCGCTCTTTACAAAAAAATTTGTTTCTTAAAGCGGCCTAAATTAACACGTATATATATTTAGATTTAAACATTTATAAAAGGGTTAGAAGATTAATACTAATAGTGAAAGTAACTTACATTCTAAAATCCTAACTTCATACCTAGTTTCCAAAAAATTGCAAACATTTTTCAATCATCTAAATAAAACATTACCATGAGCAGTAAACATTACCATAACAAAAATTGTCAACTACACTTTCGTGCATGACATTAAGTGATCTACTTGAAAAATTACCGTAAATAGATGAATACAGTAATAGTCATTAATTAATGGTGTTTTCAAAAAAAAGTCTGTGTCTGAATGTGTAAATATTTCACTATTCGTCAGCTTTAAAACACATTATTCTTACTACGTAATCATGCAGTTACCTGTTGTTTTTTTATCGTACACAGGTATGTTACATACTCTGTATGGGTGTTTTCCATAAGGTACATCATTAGGCAATCGATAGTTATCAATACAACCATAAATTTCTTACTGTAATTTGTGAAATCTAATTGTCTCAGTGGAATGTCACAGATTAATCACATTTAAAAAAACAAAACAAATAAAGTTAACAATTATGACAACAGTGTTCCGTGTTCAAGTAATGCTTAATAATAATAATAATAACCTATTACATAGTTTCAATGTCAATCATGTGTGCAATCAATATATTTTAACTAATGATTGATAATCAATAATATGAGTCATAGTTTGCAGTTAATCGTTATTTATTGTAAACGACTGTAATGAAATGACAGGGAAAAAAAATGGTGCACATAACTTTGTCATCATCGTTCTAATATAAAAGTGAATTTTGTTTTACATGATGAATATTTATACTTGTAGAGTTTGAAATGTTCTTCTTCCTGGATAGAGTTTTATTCAAATCATTAATTTAATAATACTTTCAGCTGATATAAAACCCACTAGACTTTCAAATATTAATTTAAAAAACTACAAATCGACTGCAACTATGATAATACAGAAAAACATAAACTGGAAACGTTAACATGTACACAAACTCGCTTAATATTAAGCGTGGAGGCGGTCACAAATCATTTGTTTTATGATTACCGTTGTAAGTTTTCCTAAGAATTATATTGTATCTTCATAAATATAAAGTATTATTCATTTAGGATTTCAGTATAAATTCAAAAACGTTAGCACTCTATAAATCATTCATATTCAACAACAAAATTAATTCTATGTTCAGAGAACTGCTCAGATCATATAAATGTCTCCACAAAAATAGATGACATATTCTACCTAAATGGCTAAATTTAATTACTTAACCTACATATTTCATTCAGTGTTGAAGACTATACGAAGACATTCTTTAAAGTGTGATCTTCATCATTTCATTTTATCTGACATTTACAGGTACTGTAAGTACAGGGTTAATTATAGTTATTCGAAATTTATCCCCTTTAAAAAAAAATATTCGTAGCGGACATCCATTCAATTCGAAATATGGTAATGCCAAATATTTTTCAATCAATATATATGTTCAGCACAATCGATTATCTATGTAAATCAGCAAAAGTGTCGTTTTGTATATTATAATTATCAAATATTATTGCTTTACCAGTAGTAAAATACGCTAATTTTTAATTGGAAGTTAAATATTCTTTAAGTTGAAAGGGTTAATTTTGGTTTTATCAGTTGTTCTATAGAAGAGCAACATCAAGATTACAATGAAATTGCAACAGACTTAAAGCTGAGTGATATCAATGAAACATTCATTCCCACAAAGCGAATTTACGGTGGAGCTTCGTTCACTGAGATGGATGTTTTGATTGTGGAGCTTTCGTTATTCTCTTGAACAACATTATCAGCACAAACTTCTGATAGACGTGAAGTATTTGGATTTCTCCAATTGTGGATCGTTACCTGTTTTGTTATTCTCGATCTTGATTGGTTGTTACTGACCCATAACCAGTTGTTGTTTGCAACTCTATTTTAGTTTATCTCACATTGATCAATTTCTTGGTCCTATGTTTGCCTGTGCGAAGCACAGTGGAAGACATATTTTAAAACTAATTATCACCGATGCATACTACCGGATCCACAAATGCCAGCACAACATGGATGAACGAAAGAGAAAACTAGAGAGATTATCCAAATCAGAACACTTAACAACATTGATAACGGCGATCAATCTAAGCAGCATTTCAAAGTCACCCACAGAAGAAAACTCTAACAGTTTTGTGATCAACATGTCGAATCAGCACCTAACGACAACAGAAAAACACCGTCAAAAAGGATTAAATTAAAATAAAAATGACACTTCAAAAATCGAATACTTTGCAATAGTAAAGCTATCACTACAAACGACCGGAATAAATGAAGAAACTCAACAAAAAACATAACAGACTATAGTGCCACTAACTCGACAGGAGAGAGAGAGCAACGAAAAGCTTTAAAGAAACTCGGAACCAGGAAAGATATTGTCATAGTTTTAGCAAACAAAGGACACACTGTAGTAATTATAGACCAGGAAGAATATATATCAGGAAAACCGAGGGACTACGTGAGGT